CTAAATTGTTTTTTAGAAACATTTTACACATTTTTACACATCCTTTTAAAAGAAGACTAATTTTGTACAAACTAGAAGTCATAACTTTCCCTTCCCACCCAAAACAGAAAAATGAGCAGTTTTCATTCTAATTAAAAAAAAAGTCCTAAAATATTTCTTTTTCCTAATAGAAACTTATTTTGCTAAAATTAATTTTGTGCTGATTGGCCTTGAAATGCAATTTAAAGAGGTACTTTGGAACAATAAAGTAATTTATTTCATTATGCTATGAGGTACCAAAAATTTCAAATAATCATAAACCCAAACTTGGTGGGCTATCTGTGTACCATTTGTAAATTTTCGTTTGTCCCTGGAAGCTAGGTTTATGACCTAATTTTTACTAAGGTTTTATAAGTTGGTATAATAAAGGCTAATGTTTGTTGAGCTCTTACTCTGCTAGGCACTGTTCCAAGCTTTTTACATGAATGGACTCCTTCCGTTCTCACAGCCATCCTGTTCTCTTACCTGTTCTCTCAACACAGTGGTTTAGTAACCTGCCCAAGGCTGTTATAGCTTAAGCAGCAGAGACTCCGAGTGACCGTGGCGTATAACCTCTGTGCTTTCCTGACTCTCAGCGTACAGAGTTAGTTTTCATTGTCTAACACAGTTCAAAGTGGAGAATGTCAGTAAATCTAAGCAAAGGATCCTCATCTCATTCCACAGTGGTTCAAACTTTAGTGCACTTACCTGCAGAGATTCTGACTCATGGGGCCAAGAACAGGCATTTTTAATAAGCATGCAGGCGGTTCTAACCATACTGTGAGATGCACTGGTCTCTTTCCTATGCAGTCCTCACAATTTGTTTCACATGACTGCTTGTTTTTGTTTGTGTGCTTATGTTAGACCATTCTTTACATGTGTAAGTGTTCCAGGGCGAGTCTGTTGGATATATATTGTATCTAAACTTATGCTTTAAGTGCCTGCACTACTAATCACATTTCTTGTGGAGGTAATGAATACAAGGCTAACTAACATCAGAGAGATTTTTCGTTAACCTTCTGAATGAGCTTCAGAATAGGGTATGTTTGATCTGAGAAGATTGTTAAGATGAATATAAGGTCTATAGACAGAAGAAAATAAGCATGACATAAAATTTCTACCCTAATGGGGTTTTGTGTGTGTGTATTTGTTTTATGTGTAGAAGAAACTTTGAAATGTGTATTGCACTTCACAGTAGAGCAATAGTTCCATGATTTAGGTTACTATGAATATTGATTGTAGGCAAGCGGGGGGCGGTCTTAGTAAGAAACTTTCACCCATTTGCACTACCAAGAATCCTGATGCTGTGTGTTTTAGAAAATAGAGAAAACACTAAAGCTTGTAGTTGTACTACTTCAATATCTTAGTTGCATAGTGAACTGGCAAAAATATGTTTTTCTTTCTTTTAGGGAGTTGTAAATCACACGGAGCCAAAAGACATCAACTACAGACAAAATGAATATTCCTCTGCTGGTACCACATCCTCACCATCATTTCCTAAAAGGCCTTTTGAGAACACCTTTCCGAAGTTACCACTTCATCTTTCACTCAAGTACTCATCTCAGATCAGGAAGCCCTTGTGCTTGGTCATTTGATTCTCTTAGACTCCGTTGTACAAAGTGGATGCTGCTGTCAGATGGTTTAAAGAGAAAATTATGTGTACAGACAACCTTAAAGGAACATACCGAAAGACTTTCTGATAAAGAACAAAGATTTGTGGATAAACTTTATATTGGTTTAATCCAAGGGCAAAGGGCCCGCTTAGCAGAGGCCATCACTCTTATAGAATCAACTCACAGTAGGAAAAAAGAGTTAGCCCAGGTGCTTCTGCAGAAAGTCCTAGTCTACCACAGAGAGCAAGAACAGTTAAATAAAGGGCAGCCACGAGCATTTCGAGTGGGTCAGTCTTTTCCTTTTTTTAAAATTTTGGTCCACTATCTTTTTTTCTAAATTCTCTCAAGTCTAAATAGTTTACATTCTAATGGGGATTTTTTTTTTCTTTTCAGAATTTTGAGACTAATTTTAAATGCCTTTTCTTTGCAAATGTTAGTCTTGCTATGTTGATGCGGGGTGGGGAAATGCTATAACCATTTGAACCGAGGCTCTGTATTTTAAGAGAATAATAGAAGATTTCTGTTGGCAAGAATCTTGCTCTGGCCCCCGGGATAGAATATGAATGCGAAGAACCGTTAACCAGGTTACTCCTTTTCTTTCTGTAGTCCTACTTACTAGTCGACTGTGAATTCCCTCTATTTCAACTATAATTATCCTTCATACATTTCTGGCATCTGTTTCCTGGGTGTTTCATCAGTCTTGTTTCCTTCAGATACTTTTTACTGAGTTTGTGGGAGTGGTTTGGCTCCAAGCGCAGCCATCTCAATACCAAAATGTATTTTAAAGGAAAGACCTCATCCATTTTCTGTCTAAAATTGTTAGATGCTTACTTAATTTCTTGAACAATTGTCTTGTCTGTAATTGCAAATTAGCTTGGTATGTTTTTGAAATTTTGCATTTTAGAATAATTCAGATATGTTTCACCACAAGGAATTAAGTCAGTTTTGGATGGCATGAGAGCTTTTCATGACAGCAAATTAGGTGACTCCAACCAACCCTTTCACTAAAAACAACTTGAAATGGTGGGCAAAGTACAGAAATTTTGTGAGGAATGAGTAGATATACTTAAAAATTGACCGGCATTACATTAGACTTTTATCTCTCAGTTTATTGGCTATATAGAGACTAAAACTGCTTAGTTTTTAGGGTAATGGGCTTAAATGCTTTAAAGATAATTTCAAAAAGAGTTTACCAGCTGTTATTTTTCATACATCTTTTTCTGCCCTTACTGAGGGAACCCTCATTTTGAGAGTACTGTATTGGGTATTAATAATCTTTATATCTTGTAGACAGATAAAATAGCAAACTCCCAAAGAGAAATTTTAGTTATGACAAAATGTTTACCTTTTAAGCTTTAGAGGGTCTTTGAAGAGAAAATGCCCCCAGAAAATCTGGAATTAACCAGCAACACACACAACTAGTAACTCACAATTTTGCAATGTTATTCTGGTTCTTCCATCTTATGAGTCCCAGTAAACCTTTGTCTTTATTGTAGTTCTTTTATCGCCATTATAAATAAAAGCAACAAATGTTTATTGAACACCCATAAAGATGGTTAAGACAGAGACCTGCCCTGAAAATTGTGGTAAGGAACCAAGCATACTATATGTCATATACACTTTTGAATATAGTTACAAATAAATGCTTATGTTTTATATACTTTATTGAACATACTCTTATATATCTCTTTATGTCATGAGCTATTCTAAACATATTGCTAATGTTAACTCATCTAATGCTTAAAACAGCGTGAAGAGATAGGTGCTGTCATATCCATTTTGCAGAGTACACTCAGGTACAGAATGGTTAGGTTACTTACCTAAGATTACACAGCTCTTAAGAGGCAGAACTAGAAATAGACATGACTGACCGGCTCCAGAGTGTGTGTTCTTCCCTGCCGTGCTCAACTAACTCTCCAAACAACTTAGGCAGTGAGGTCTGCCCCGGAAGGTCTGTGTTAGAATAGAAAGGCAAATCCCATTTTGTAATTTTTGAAAGTGAATTTGGTGAACATACTGAACTCAGAATTCTTTCTTTCCTATATCCCTATTACTCAGGAATAGATACATAAATGGATTTTCATTTACTCCTTTAGGAAATGTTAAAATACATCACTGATGCTTTTAATAAATTAGGAAAAAGAGAAGATAGTCTAATATTTTAATAAAACTCATCGTAGTGCAGGTTTCATTTAGTTCAGTAAATTAGAAGATCTCTTTTCACTGTAGGATTGTCTGGGCCTCCTGGTGCTGGAAAATCAACCTTTATAGAATATTTTGGAAAAATGCTTACTGAGAGAGGGCACAAATTATCTGTGCTAGCTGTGGACCCTTCTTCTTGTACTAGTGGTGGTGAGTATTGCTGATTCTTTTTAAATTGTAGAGTTGGGGCTCGCAGAGCTCTCTATTATAACTTAGCGGGAATTTGCATAGTCAGGTGACTTCCAACGTCTAGCTGAGTTTGGTCACACTGAAGGAAGGGGCCGAAATGGAGGCCGAGGGAGCTAGTTTGGGGCATTGGGATCTACAGACAACATTAGCCCAGGAGTAGCCTGGAAACTTAGAGAACTTGGAGGACACTGCCAGAAGTTGAAGATAATCATAAACAAATTTCAGCCCTTCCTTGATCACGCCTGAGGTCAGGCCATTCTCCCCTCCCGTAGTTTTTCCCGGCTGCATCAGCCCCTGCACAATTCAGAAAACGAGCCCTTACTCGTTCATTATTTTCCTCTTATTGTTGTAACATCTTTTAAGCCTTAAAAAAAAACTCTTACTGCCCTTTCTAGCTTGTCCCCTGTTTATATTACATGTTCAGTTAGACAGATAGCTCTGAGAGGGCCCGTGTGTTAAAGTCGCATAGCTTTGTAGTTCCTGACCTTTCTCAAACCAAAAATGAGGGTCCCTTTCCTGGGTAAAAATATATGTAGACTTCAAAGAAAAAAATACACAAGGATAGATAAGCCACTCTAAGTGTAGATTTCTACTTTATTGCAACAGTACATACATACATTAAAGTTTGAGAAGCATTAATTATTGGCCCATAGTCCTCTTGTGCTTTGCAGTCAGAGACCTCCTGCAGTAGCTTTGAGAACGCCCTAAGGGTCTGCACCCAACAGTTTAGGATTCACTGGCAAAGACAATTATATAGGAGAGTAATTTCATAATATTTAGTTCAGTGTGTTAGGATATATAGGATAATAATTTAAAGTATAGCTTTGGCAGATTGTTGACTTAACACAGAGATGATTTCATGCAGAAAATTGCTTTAGAAAAAGTTTTATGTGCAGTAAATAACATTGTTAGACGTAGTAGGTCTGCACTTTACAATTAGAACCTATGGAATTCCTAAACTGGAATCATAAGGGAAAAGAGCATATCTTTAAGGAATTTCTCAATACTTAGTATCAACTTTATGTGGAAAAGTTAGCTTTAGGCAGAGTGAAATTTAAAATCAGGTTAGAACAGTATGGTACTTTCAAATATATGGCTACTATATGGTTAATATATGGCTAAAGGAAAGAAGTTAATTTCAATAGTTCCAGGGCTTTCAGCCTTCTAGAATTTGCAAGTATTGGTGTTTGCCTAAATGCTGCAGTAAACCGTGAAACATCACCCGTTCTGTTGCATAGGAATTAAATTAATTGCCTATTGTGAACAAGCATTCAGTGTACAAAATATGTGAGAGATGATCCTATAAGCAAGGCACTTAGTTAAAGCAGGGCTTCTCAGTCTTGGTGCCAGTGACTTTCTTTGTGGGCAGCTGTCCTGCATGTTGAAGGATGCTTAGTATCCTTGGCCCATACCCACCAAATGCCACTTGGCACCCTGTCCCCCAGCTGTGACAAGTAAAAATATCTCTAGATGTTGCCAAATTTCCTCTGGGGACAAAATCATCCCCAGTTGAGAACCATAAACCATGTTAAAATAACAGTAAAGAAACTGCCCTGGCTACAGTGGAAGATTGACTGGGGACCATTTGAAGCTGAAACTAGACAGGCAAAGTAGGGTTGCATTCCAAGAGCCTTCGATGCTAGGCTGAAGCATCTAGATTTGGACCTCTAGTTAGTGGGAAACCATTATAGGTTTTAAGGTCTTGAAATGTTAAAAAGATTAATTTGACATCATTGTATACAGTGTGTGGGAGAAAAGCTCAATAATATGAAATACAATTTGAGATTTTTGGGAAAAGTATCATAAAGCACTTCCCCTGGGAATAGGCTGATTGATAATTGGCTCTTACAGTCATTTCAGAATTACAAAATGCAATTGTATGTTTTAGGATCACTGTTGGGTGATAAAACCCGAATGACTGAGTTATCAAGAGATATGAATGCATACATCAGGCCATCTCCTACTAGAGGTACCTTAGGAGGTGTGACAAGGACTACAAATGAAGCTATTCTGTTGTGTGAAGGAGGGGGATATGACATTATTCTTATTGAAACTGTAGGTGAGTGTGATTTTCTACTTCATAACCAAATACTATTCTAGTGAACTATATAAAGATGAGTGACAACTAATTTCATTTTGTTCATTCAGCATATATTTACTAAAGGTGGAATTAAATATAAGATAGTGCGGATTCTATAGGAGATACGAGTGTATAGGCTATAACCCTACCCTTAAAGAAAAGAAAACCAGGTGTCCGGATAACTTATATGAGGTGGTGTGATAAGGGCTGGAGAGGACTTCCAGCACCAGGATGACCCATGGAACAGCACTGTGACACAGCGCCCGTTGATGAAGCGCGTCTCACGTGTCGGCAGTGTTTGCTAAGAAGTTAACGTAGCCGGCTGCCTCTGAACTATAGGGCCACGTTCTATGTTATCTTATGTCCCTGGCACACAATTACACGTGATGAAAATACTGAAATGGAAACCCCAGGAAATTTGCATTTTTGTGGAGAGACAGTCTGTATGTTACTGTGTGATAAATGTTTGTGACACAGCCCGACTCACATTTGGGGGATCAGGGAAGATTCCAGGAGCAGGTGCCAGTCGAACTCAGTTTTGAAGGAAGACTTGGAGTTACATAGGTATGAGCGAAAGGGCACTTGCAGAGACACAGGAGTGAGAGAACTTGGCCCATTTAGAGCTGCCGTTTTCTTGGGATACTTAGAGCAGAGAGTGTGAAGGCGGATTGAAGAGAGACGGGGCTGCAGACTAGAAGCTCCACTATCTAAGGGTGGACGGAGGACAAGTCACCCGAGTGGTAATAGAATCAAGGGAGAAGAGGACCATGAAAAACCAAGTGTATCACTGAGAAGTTGCATTTGCCTGCTTGTCTCATAGACTCAAAATAACTGTGACTCAAATGAGAAAGAGGTTTGTATTTTTGTATGTAAAAGAAGCCTGGAGGCAGGCAGTCCGAGTGGGCGCGCGCGCGGTGCTTCCTCCAGGACCTCAGCGGCCCAGGCTTCTGTCTCTGCTCTGCCTTGTAGCACTTCGTTTCCTTCCTCAGGATTGCTTATGGGTAAGAGGCGGCAGATGAAGCTCTGCCACATCTGTGTTCCAGGAGAAGGGAGGGAGGAGGGGAGAAGGGGCAGGCAGGAGAGGCGTACCTCCGGGCTGGGTTAGCCCTGTTTCAAGAAAAAGCTTTCCTGGAAACCCCACGTAATTTCACTCATTAATCTTCTCTAGCTGAAACGGGGTCTGGCGAATGCGATCTTTCACCTGGTACCTTGATGCTCCTAATAATAATTGGGGTGAGGAAATGGCAGAGTAAATATTGAACAGGCACCTAGAAGTCTCTGCCACACCGAGGAAGGAGAGAGTTTTGATAGGAGTTTGAGTGGAGTTGGGGATGTGGACGTCACGTTTAAGTGGGTTGAGATTAATATGAAGTAGTCAAATAAAGACTATATATAGCTTTTTTTGTAGAAACTTCACTACAAAGTGAAAGTGGGAAATCTGGTGATAATTGAAGGAGGTTGTGAATTTTAGTCTAATTTTTTTTCTTGTTTTGTTTGTTTTTCGGGTGAGAAAGACGAGAGTGCAGTTCATGTGATGTGCTGAGGGACAAGAGCCTGTAGGCAAAGGCCAGGTTAGAGAACAAGCAGAGGGGGGTCCCAGAGGAAGGGGTGATCTTCAGCCAGTAATTCTAACACCGGGACTGGAGAGAGGGCAGTAAGGCAGTTTGTATTCATACCTGCTTCTTTGTGGAGGATGAGGAGAAGTAGAGGCAGTTTCTGCCTTTATTTCACTGTGATGTAGGTCCATGTGACCACGGCATTGGGGAGATTATGGGACAGTGAGTGTTTGCAGTAGCTGCTGTGAGAAATGGGGGAGGCTGACTGAGGGCATTTAGGGGCATTGCTTTAACCGAGTGTGAGGAACGAGCAGTGGACGCTGGAGCCCATGACTCTCTAGTGGCGCCTTATACCCACACACGCGTATGGAGGATGGAACACAGATAGTTGGATTGATCCGTGGGTGAGGCTTTGCAGGGCTGATGTAGAAGGACGAGAAGGCAAGAAAGCTGAAGGTGTAGACTGGCACAGTCTGACATAAGAATCCCTGTGCTCAAGCTGCTCTCCGATGGGAGGGCAGCCGAGAAGGAGTTGCAAGGGTTGGGAGAGAATGGAGGCCTCGAGATTCTCCACTCAGAGACCAAGACTAACAGGAGGAAGGGCGGGGGAGAGGCAGGACGCTTAACAGGTTTGCCTATAAGATAAGACAGTTGCATTTAATAAATGCTTCAGAGGTGGGGTGTTTGAAGCGGGATCCGATTTGAGCATGTGATTGAATGAGTGAGAGAAGTGGATTGGAAATGGTGGTCAGTGTAGTTGAGAAAGTCAGATTGCCGTGACTGTTTTAGTATATAGTTGTGATTTGAAATTTCAGGTGTGGGTCAGTCGGAGTTTGCTGTTGCTGATATGGTTGACATGTTTGTTTTACTGCTGCCACCCGCAGGAGGAGATGAATTGCAGGTAATTGTTTCGACTCCCCTCATCCCCTCAAAACACAAAATATACATCTCTGAAAGTGCAAGTTTCCAGTGTTATGTTTTTGTAAATTAATTTAATATTAGTGTGGGGACAGAGACATCATTCACATCGGCTAAAATACTTGAGTCAAAGGCAGATTCTCTATATTTTTCCCAACTTACAGTAATAGAATTTTATGGCCTTGAGTTAATCATACAACTGAGATTTTCCCACCTGTGACTTGGGAGGAACGGCTCCAGCCAAAAGACACCACTGTTGCATGGGTGTTTGTAGTGTCGTTGGCTCAAAAGTCCCTCATAAGATATCACGTTTTTGACTGTGACCCACTATTGTAGTTTATATATTGTAAAATAGGTTCTTACTTTCCTCCTGCTGTGCAGTTCTGGCATCGACAACCTGGAGTTAACAGCCTTCCCAGGTCAAGGGCACTGCCCTCCACAGGACCGCCCTCCAGACGCCAGCAGCTGCTCAGGGGTTCCCAAGCTACCCACAGCTCAGACCAGCTGGCTACAGATGTGATTCCCACTACCCCCCGGGTTTGATAGTTCACTGGAATGACTCACAGAACTCTGGCAAGCACTGTAGTACAATTACAGTTTTATTATAGATGATAAAAGGACCAGTTAATTGAAGAGAGACACATAGAAAGAGTTCTGGAAGGGTCCTGAGCTTGAAGTTTCTCTGTCTTGGGGATACATTTCCCTCCTGGCACGTTGACGTATATCACTAACCAGGGTGTTCACCCGCGCTTCAGTGTTCAGAGTTCTTGTGGGTTTTTTTAAATTTAGGCATGATTGGCTGAATCTTTGGCCACATGATTGAACTCAGGCCCCAGTCCCCACCCCTCCCCAGAAGTCAGGCCCATCTCACACAGCTCAAGGGCCCAACCCTCCGATCACTTGGTTGGTCTTTCTGGTGTGGTTGGCCCCCTTTCTGAGTGGTCTCACTGCATAAACTCAGGTGTGGTCGCAGGCGCCCATGGTGAATCACAGAGACACTCCTATCACTCCGGAAATTCCAAAGACTTAGAGATTATGCCCCAGGAACCTTGGACAAAGATCATACAATACCTCCCTTTTAGTTGTATAATTCTAAAAAGAATGGTGACTGTGGGCTCTGGATGCTGCAGTTCAGAAACATTAACTATTAGAATTTAATCATCGAAAGTTGTTTTTAAAAATATTTGAAAAGAAATTTTAATTTAGGTGAAAAAAAAATCTGCATTTTTCCAAATAAGCTTTGGCCTTAGGATTTCTAGTGTTTTTATGAAATATAATTTAAATCAAGAGATTGAGGCAATTTTAGCCATCAGGTAAAACCTGATGCAGGTTTTAAGGAAAACCTCAATGCAGATTGGAAAACAAAGACATTGTTTTTTGAAGTGCAGATGTTAGTGGTGGATGTGTTTTCTGTTTAAGCACCTTAGTGATGGATGGTTTTGCATCCTTCAGTGTTAGCTCATGAGAAGCAGAATCCATCAGGAGACAATATGAAGCATCTCCTGCCACTCAATCATGTTGTGCCTTGGTACTATATTTGCTCTAATTCTGAATGTTTTTCATCATGTTAGTCTCTAAATTTAGAAGAGATGTTACAGATGACTTCCATAGTCCCAAGAGAAATTTCTGTTGAGTAATTGTGATTCCCGGTACCCAGGACTTGGGAGGATGCAGAGAAAACATTAGTTAATGAAGTATATGACTTTCAAAATTTTTGCGTTGACCGGTGTCTCATTTTGTGCTGTAATTAAATGTTTCTGATAAATCGCTTTCTTCTCTTTTTCTCTTTAGGGTATCAAAAGAGGTATAATTGAAATGGCCGATCTGGTAGCTATAACTAAATCTGATGGAGACTTGATTGTGCCAGCTCGGAGAATACAAGCAGAGTATGTCAGCGCACTGAAACTACTCCGCAGGCGTTCAAAAGTCTGGAAACCAAAGGTGAGTTTGCATTTTCACCCTGAAGGACTGTGCATTGGGAGAGAGGATGGAAGCCCTAAGTTAGACATATAATCAATCTTTGCTTGTATGTGAGATTACAATTTTAAAAATTTTGACAAAGCCAGAGTATGTAGTCATGATTTTAAATTTAATCCTTTAGCCTCTAGATGTCAAAAACTAGATGTGAGGTGATAGATTAGATTGCTTAATGCTTGACTTGAGCCATTTGCAAGTGATAAGAAATCCATTCTGAAAGGAACCGTCCTTAAGATTATGGAGCAGTTAATGATTTGAACATCTCTATTAGAGTTTGAGTAAGAAAATGCTCTCGATGTGATAACTTCCCATTATGCTTGTTGGGTGCTGCTTTCAATAGAGAAAAGAAGAAAAAGAAAAATCCTGTAATAAGTGATGCAATAGTATTGATGTTGGCAGCTTTATCTGCAAGAGGACACTGTTATTAAAGAGCAAGCTGTAATCACCATAACCAGAGCAGTGATGACAGCTTACCTTCGCTCCCAGTCTCCTCAGTCCTGGCGTGTGCTGGGTCTGGAGCCATCTTGTACATGCAGGTGGTGGACGGTCAGCTTTTAGCACTTGCCGAATCAGACAACTGTGACAGAGGGAGTGGGACTATTTGCTCAACTTAGTTTCATTTTCTGGCACTCAGGCCTCAGAGAAACCTACCTAGCATTGCCCTTCTCATCCTTGTGACCCTCTCACAGTTCCTCCATGAGGCCTCTGAAGACCATCTGGATAATCTTAAATCTAAATAAATCTCTGGGCTGAAAACCTTGACCTTGAATTAGCAATTTATTTCTGCTATGCACTTAGGAATCCTAGTAAGTTATCTCAGTATATTAACTTTGACACAGCAATAAAATATCTCATTTTTGCCAGTTGGCTGTTTCCTTAGACTGTAAGAATTAATTGGCAAATGCCAGAGTCCACATGAAAATGTGTTCTATCGTTTTAAGTAAAATGGTTCTGGTTTTTCCATTTTCAATAGGTAGTTCGTATTTCTTCCAGAAGTGGAGAGGGGATCTCTGAAATGTGGGATAAAATGAAGGAATTTCGGGACTTAATGCTTGCCAGTGGGGAGCTGACTGCCAGACGACAGAAGCAGCAGAAAGTCTGGATGTGGAATCTCATTCAGGAAAGTGTGCTAGAACATTTCAGGACCCATCCCACAGTCCGGGGACAGATTCCTCTCCTGGAAGGAAAGGTTCTCAGTGGGGCCCTGTCCCCAGGACTAGCAGCAGACTTGTTGTTGAAAGCTTTTAAAGCAGAGACTAATGACATTTATCCTATACAATAATTTTACGTAATTTTTCATGAACTATTTTAATATTAAAAGTCACTTGTGTGCTTATATTTTCAGTAATTCTTTTGTGATGCCCTTGGCCTCGTTTGTGAATCATGCTTGAAAACTCCGAAATGTTAGATATGGATGGCAAAGGCCAGGCAGTCAGGCAGTATTTATAAGGTACCTGTAGTATATTACTGATTTTTGTTTCTTTCTATTCTTATACCCTGGCACGATGGCCTGTAGGATAGTTCTCACCAGTCAAGAGCAGAGAAAGCTGAAGACAGTGAAATATTTTAAGTATACCTTAAAATGCTTTCTTTGGTTTTATAGTCTCTGGGAGTTTGAGAGAAAATGTAAGCAGGTGTCACTACATTTTTGAAGTCTTCCTTGAGACCAAAATAATGCACAGTGAGTTTCTAAGAGCTGAAAATCATGATTGACACTTAGCATACCAGACTATTCCAGGAATTTCTGAAATGGTCATGTACATGTATAACAAAACAGTTGGAATGTGTAGTGATAACTTTAAAATCCACTTGTCTAGACTGGCGGACCCCCTCCCCCATGATAGGTGGGAGAGCCCAGAGGGGACTGGAGAAATCAACTGCAAGTAATGTGGTCCACTAATCCCCAAGAGTGGGAGCAAACCCCCAAAGGACCCAAGTGAGGTCAAACGATTCAGGGGTGATTTAGTGTGACTGTCATCAAAGGTTTTGCTTCTCTTCCTCCGTCGCCATTTGCCTTCATATTAACATCTTAAAAATCTACTTGATTCTTGATAGCAAGGAGCAAGTCTTGTCCTCTGGAGTAAGCATGGCACAGTGATGGAGAGCATGGGTTCTGGATTCCGACAGTGTGAGCTTTAACTTTAAGCCCAGATCAATTGCTTACTAGCTATGTAAGTTTGGACAAGTAACCTACCTCTCTAAGCTTCAGTTTTCTCCCTGGTACAAAGGAATTGACATATAACTTTATAGGGTGGGTGAGGATTAAATGAGATAACTCGGGAAATTTTTGCATCGGGGTGATACGCAGGAAGTACTCAAAGGCTGCTTGCTGTTATTATTATGTGAAAGTTATGGATACTTGAGGCTGTACAAAGCTTGTATGAGAGTTCAGTTTTCTCCCATTATCTTATTACTGCCACCATGCTCTTATGATATTTTATGATTGTCTTTAAACCACCTGCTCTAATTAATTTTTTGAATATATTTTATACTATTCGATGATAGTTATAATTATGTACATTTGAATAAACTTATTTCTAACCATGAAATTTCTCCATTGCACAAAATGCCTTCCCAGAAATTTCAGACATCCTCTATTCTAAACGCTTTAGGGTATTCTACACAGTATGTCAGCTTTCGTTATTTACACGCCTGTCTGGAATGAAAGTCTTGGTATTGTTTTAGCAGACATTCCTTTACATTTTTAAAAATGAGATTTATGTTATTGTCGTATCTATATAAATATGAGAGGTGAAAGTTTGAAAGGTTATCTAGTCAATTCACCTGATTTCGAAAAGGACCAGCATTAAACCACCCTAGTAGGTGAAAAACTGTTTTTAGAAACTTCCAAAGAAGGAATTTTACCATTTCCCTCAATAAGCAGGTAGCAGACATGTCATCTGTGGTGCAGTGTAAGCGGTGGTGGAGCGGACGTACACTGCACTGTAAAGAAGGTATAGAAACGGTGGCTTTCGTTCGCCTGAATTCAGATACTTTTAAATGTTATAAATGTAGTCATAAAAAGCATTAGAAAAACCCTACCCCCCTTATCCTTCATAGGTCGTTGTGATACCATTTGCTGTGACATAGAGACCAATTTCTAAGATATTGTTCATTTTTATTTGTTATTTGCTATACTGGAAACTATATTATATAGTAAAATATGTGTGGCCTTAAAAAAAAAAAAATACATGCTGCCTTTCATGAAGCTCAGAAATACCATCGTCCTCCCGATCTGCGATTCCACCATGCTCGACCCCTGACCTGGATTTCGACTTTGATACACATAGTCACACTTCAGGTATGTCACTGGTAAGCCATGTGATTTGGGGCAAGTTACTTCTCCTCTATGCACCAGTTTCCTTATCTGGAACATTAGGGTAAGAATACTTTAGAAGGTCGTTGGAATAATTAAATGAAAAATCGTATGCAACATGCTTAGCACTCGATAATTGGTAGGTGTTAGAAATATTACACACAGACACTTGTGACCACTTTTGTTCTATACTACAGACTGGCATCATTTAATTTTAGTTTGGATAAACTACTTAACCTCCCTGTGTCTCAGTTTCCTCATTATTAAATGGGGCTGACAATAATGTCCACCTAGAGTTGTTGAAAGGACAGTTTTAGTTAATGGACATACAGTACCTAGACATAGTAAGTGCTAAGTAAATATTTAACAGTCATTGCTACCTCTTAGGGTTGTGAGGATTAAATGAGTTTGTCTCCCTCTATCTTAGAAGGATAATTCTTTTCTGAAAAAAAAGCCTCATACGTTGACTTAGCCTTTGTGAAAAGCATAATAACCATTAATTTCTGTAGGGAGGTAAAAACGTGCTGTCTTCCATACCGAGCTCCAGAATTGACTGCAATTACTTGTACAGTTACAGCTGCAATTAACATTTGCTATCACAATACAACCTAGCAAGGAATTTTCCC